AACACAAGCACACATCAGCCTTGACTCTACATCTCTTTTTCTGTCCCCCCCTCCAAAAGGTTGGATCTCAACTCTAGCTTCTCTTCTCCCAACGTATCCAAAAACTTTCATGTTGAGGACCAATCAACGAAGCGTCTATGATAATGTGGAATTGCAGGAGAAAGTAATAGTCTATCGTTCCTCTCGCTCTTCTTGTTATTGTTATCGTTGTTGTCGTTGTCGTTGTTGTTGTTGTTGTTGTCGTTGTTGTTGTCGTTTTTGTTGATGTTGGTAAGCATCATAATATGTATTATAGATAATACGATTAGAAGCAGAAGTATCGGAACTATCACAAACAGCTTGTTCATTATCATCAAGAGTTGAGGAGTTGGATAATACCAAATGTGCTCTACAAGAAGCTCAAGACTTAGCCCAGAGTGTTATAACTATGCATGATACTATACATATCTGTAAAGAGGCACTAGCTACTAATAACATTGATGATGCTGCTAAAGCAATAGCCCGGATTAGAGAGGTATAATGATACAGTATTTGTTGGTGCGATCGTTACTACTATAATAGATAAGACGTATGTATCCTGATATATACAAGGTATGTGATAATGCAAGTCTTAAAGAGGCTAAGAGACTTGAAGATGAGGTAGTAGTAGGCTACTCATACTGTTACTGGGGGGGGCCTAGTATATGATAATGATCATAGGTATGTTCATTAGTACGTAAAGCGTTTGATAATGCTATTATAAGTGGAGATAAGGATGGTGTTAGTAAATGTGGTAGGTTATTCTATCCTCTAGGCATGACCACTGAAGCTGTTGCAAGGTAGTATTATTATTAATAGTAGTAGTATCATCATTATGCAGATATGTAAGGTTTATAAGGCAGACTCTAGCTGCACAATGTAAACAAAAGCTTAGGTAAGATGTAGTAGTAGTAGTAGTACTGATAATGATAACAACACTTAGTTCGGTAACAGCTACTACTACCACCTCTAATGATGCATCATCATCATCAAGTAGTAATGTCATTAATGAGAAGTATGTTAATACTCTTACGGATGTATTCCTAGCAGTAGCTGATATCATACAAGATCATCAGAGGAATATAGAGGTAAGTAACGTATAATGACCTGTCGACTACCACTACTACTACAACTCCATCATCATCATTGTAATAGTATGCTTGTTGTTGTTATTGTTATTCAGGAACAGTTTGGCCCAATAAACTTTATAATGGTCTTGAGAGGGTTACAATCAGAGGTAGATATACAAGCTATTGCTGTAATCAAACGTTTAAGAGAATCTAGAAGTATTACTACTATTATGGAACATTTTCAAACTATTGCAGATGGTAGTAATATTAATAGTAATATCCTCTAATAGATATCTATCTTCAGAGTGTATTGACAACAATGATGCATCATCCATTGTTGATGAGATAGATCTTGGAGAAAAAGATGCTGTAATATTCCATTACTACTACTATTATTACTATTGTTAGTGTACATAGTACTCATATTATTAGAATTGGTCATCATCAGGTCATTGATGAGATATGCATCATAGCCCAACGATGTAACCAATTCGATCATTATATTCACAATATAAGTCGGCAGGTAGTAGTAGTGATGGAATATAATAGCATGATAAAACTAATAGCAGGTAGTAGCAGAGTTAGGGAATGATGATAAGAGGAGATTGATGTATGGGGAAGTTGCTCCTGATGAAAAGGACTACAACGAGGATCATCATCATCATAAGAGTAGGAATACTTATGGAGAGGATGGTCTGCCCATTATGACTGATTTAACTGAGTTAGTACAAGTAATAATAATTACACTTCATCATCATCATTGATTATCATCTTTACTACTTATTCAGGAACTAATGGGAGAATATGTATTATATGAGAGATCCTTCATTATAGTATCTACTATTAAAGCTATCCATGAGGATAGAATTGATATGGATGATCCACAACAGATGACTTCTAGTAATAATAATATTCATAATCTACATTATCATCATTCTTATCATCATTGTAGGTGTAGTTGATGATGTATTCTTTGTATTAAACAAAGCTATAAGAAGATCATTATCAAGTGATGATATTGATTCAGCATGTGCTGTTATGAATCATATAGTACAAGTCCTGAGTAATGAATACAAGACCATATGCCTTGATAAACCATTACAAGAATCTAAGAGGAACTTCTCATCATTCTTAGCACATAGGGTATTAACAACAACAACAATTGTTATTATTATTATCAATGGTGATTATAATATATCATTATTATTAGGAATATATAATGGAAGCTATTAATGATGATTCTACTGCTGCTGCTGCTGGTGGTGGCGGCCTTAACAATCGTACCAAGGGAGTAGTATCATATGAAACCAACTATACTCATCATCATCACCCATTATATCGAATGTATTACTCTACTACTACTAGTAATATGCGTAGATGATGCTTATTGTTGTTGATGTAGGTATAGAGAGAGTGATGGCGAGACTCCATTAGAAGTAGTATCATCATCACAGAGTTGGCCGCATGCTCTATCAAATGTAGCCCTAAGTGCATTGTAAGTAGTAGAAATACTATCATATTAAGAAGCATTATTACATATCAATCTCATTAGATATGTTGATAAATTACGAGAATCAGCTACTACTGTTGATACTCATGATAAGAGGGAAATGTTCCTCAACACTATACAACAACTAGATCAGGTAGTAGTAGTAGTAGTTATGGTATTAGGATGGATGCTGCTACTTGTTGTGTATCATCATCATTATGATAAGGTACGATCAGATTTCGATGAGTTAACTCATTTAGGATGCAAAATGTGCCTACACCAGGTGAAGGTAGGAGTAATAACCAGTAGTAGTAAGTAGTATTGTGAGTGTTGTATACATGAGATACAATATCTGAGCCCAGCATTAGCTGGATTGGATAATATTAATTATGATATTGATGAAGATGGGTATAACGATTATCAAATCAATGATCCATTTGCTCAACACTTCATTAACGAGACAGATATTGTAATAATAATCTTTAAATATTATAATACCTTCTGTAGAATATCTTACTACATAGGTTATACGATTCTTAACATTGATATTAACACAATCATGTATGAATATTATCATTGCTTTATTGGTTGATCAACTTACTACTCGTATGGAGAAGTTCGTATTATCATCATCTCATAAGGTAGTAATAGAAGTGGAATTAGTAGTAGTTGTATTATATCATAGTATCATTAGGAATGGTATAATGAAGGAGAATTCCATCATTACTTTTCGATGCTCGGAGCAATACAATTCGATCAAGATATTAGACGTCTCCTCAACTACTTTACTTCAATATCAGATGTAATACAGCAATAAGTACTGGTAGTTTTATAATCGTTATAATGATGATAGTTACCAATACGACGTAAATTCAGCCGATTATTGGATATGTGTACTCTACTGAGTTTAGAATCTTTGGATGAATTTCATGATCTATATTCCTCTACTGCTACTACTAATAGTAGTAGTGGTATGCTACATCATCAACAACAGCAACAATCATCATCATCATTTCGATTATCAAAGGATGAGATTAAGAAAGTAAGTTAATATATACATTAACTATTACTACTACTAGACTACCACTATTATGATTCTGAATATGATGGTTATGTCAAGATACTGTTCATACGGAGATTTCCTAAACATGAGATAGATGCTCTTCTTCGTGATTATCATTATAGTAATAATTACACTCGCAATAATACTATTATAACATCATTACCATAATATTATTATTAACATTACCATAATTATAGCTTCCATAGGTATTATCTCTTCTTGTTCTTATGGTTAGTAGTAGTAAATTATGCATTTTCTGGCATCTACCCCTATTTGTACTCTCATCAGAGATCATCCTATCATTATAATCATCCATGGACATCATCATCAATACTAGTAATGTTAGTATTGATAATATAAACCCATCAATGATGATGGTAATGAATGATGATGATGAAGATGATGCTTATCTCACAACCGGGAGTACTCGTTCATCCATCAATCCTGCTGTCCCATCTACCATCACTAACAACAACACAATGATGATAAAGGCCACCATCGACTCTCATGATGATGCAGAAAGAAGGAAGCATACCGCACGCTTCTTTCGACAGCATGCTAAGTGGAGTCTTATTGGTGAAGGGAGAAGATGGGT